CTGTGCCCGACGTCGTGGTATGTACGCATATTCATAGCCCATCGGCGACCTAATACTCTCCTCAGGTCTTTCTGTCAGTCCGTGTCTTACCGACCGCAAGGACAGATCCGTCCGATCGTTATGTCGTGGACAAAGTTCGAACTGTGGAAGGTGAACTCTACAACCCCACCCATGACTGCTTCTATGCTTAACACAACGCCATTGAGGTTTCTATGGTGTTACATATTATCTGGGATTTCGCGAGGATTTTGGTGTCAAGGTTGGTGGACGCATTCCCATACACAACGGCACACTGATATGAGACCCATAGGTTGAAGAAATTGTCGACCATATCTGCGCTCTGGAAAGAAGAATCGACCCTCGAAACTCAGCAGCCAGAATCACTAAGGTTAAGAGGGCGGTTGCCACCTCGACACACATGTCCGCAGTTCTTTTACCTTTTTTACTTCCAAACGAGACAACTCATACTATGTCCAGAGTTCCTCACTACTACGTCATGAGTCAACCTGTAGCAAGCGGTAAATTGTCTCGGGTGATTAATTGGATTCGGGGGTGGCTCATCGAAGACTTGTACCGACCTCTGTGTACGCTCGCTTTCACTCAGTTCATGGTCATAACACACGGCTCAACCTTGGGACACACAGCTACGATGTTCCCTGAAACCGAGAATTGGACTGGTCCCGCAGATGAGTGCGTATTTCTTTACATTCCACGTCTGTATTCCTTGGCCCTAAATTTGATCAACTGTCGTCCACAGGATCATTCGCGTTGGAGTGAACGCATTCATTTGAATGACCACTCCTTCACGCTCGATGTTGGACTGGATGACTTGCTGGTCTCACGACGATGAACAAATGGGTATATACACTTGCGACTTCTATTATCCACTAGACCATCCATCTACCAGGGAGGGAACAAAGAGGCTTAAATGGTTATAATAACAATATACTAAGCGTATCGAACTCGAACGAGCGAAGGTGAAGGAATAGTTCGCGGTGCAAGCCGGTAAAGGAGTCCAGCATTCACCACCTGACTTCTGTCCAAAGGAGAGGTCCAAAGACAATACAGGCGGTCCAGAACTATAAGATCGTTATACCGAGTGTTAGGTTCCGGATAATAAGAGGGAGGGAGGGAACTCACGACTTGGAAGCTCTTGATGACCAACATGGGGTACTGGTCTAACCGAGGGACTTTGTACAACACCTTCTCGGAACCGGCAACGGTGTAGGGTTGTGGGTGGGTGAACATGCACCAGATGGAATAGAAAGCCACTGCGAAGAAGTGGTTGAAGAGGAGGACGGGCGAGGGTGCGATTCTGAGAATGATAGTCGAGGTTAGGGCGGACGAACGAGGCTGGAAACGAGAAATTGCATACCCGGAAAGGAGGGAAACAGGTCCTCGAACACATTCGCCTCCTCGCTCGAAATATTTGAAGCACCCTGCTCGGAGAACCTCCAAGCACTCATCTATGCAAAATTCCGCGAGTTAGTACCAGGAGGAAAGAAAGCGGCATAAGAATCGTACCCTCAGCTCCGAACAAATCATAAAGTGCCACACTCAAAATATTGATAGTAGCAGCCATACCCTTCCTCTCCCACCACCACTTATCCAACGCCCACTTGACATTCTCCCAATCACCCAATCCGCCACCCTCAGATCCACCTCTACCCTCTGCACTCCAACCAAGTGCAGCTACCTCCTTCAATAACCTCCCTAGAATCGCGACGTCATTGAAGGCGACGGTCATTCCGCCACCGGTAAGTGGGTGACGCATGTTCCAAGAGTCACCAAGGAGGATGACACCCTCTTTTGTGTGGGAGGTTCCTTGAGGAGCTGCGGGGAGCCAGGAGTTGGGCATGCGGCGGAGACGGTCGTTTTGGAGGGCGTTATGGATGGGGGTGTGGAGGGAGGGAGGGAGTTGTGGGACGATTTTTGACCAAATATACTCCTAAGGAATAGAAGATGGTGATAAATAACGAATGTAAGAGAAGAAAGAGATGAAATAATGAGACGAACCTTGAGATCGGAAGGCAATGGCGCAGTTATGTCAATCAACATCCTCGTATCGTGCTCCTCGATAGAGTATAACAACACCGGGCCATTACCCTTCACCAAACAAACCGTCCCATGGTTATCATAAGGTAATTTCGCGTCTTTTACGACGATACCGACGAAATGACTTCGGACGGTGGGCTTGATAGCACCTTTACCCATGACAGAGGTTCGGAAATTTGAGAAGCAACCGTCGGCGACGACAACGATGTCAGCGAAAAACGATTCCTTCTCTTTTGCCTTTTCCTTCTCCGCCTCTGAGGCTTCACTCGAGATGGAGCGTGTAGCCTCAACACCCAACACCCTTCCCGAGAACGGACACTCGATCAACTCATTCACTGTGGCCTCGATCATCTCTACGCCTTCCCCCTCCTTCGCCTTGGCCCGCAAAGATTGGATGAACCGCCCATGGTGGAAAGCGGAACCCTCCCTCCCATCCGGATAGGGAATGTGGACATTCTCACCAGCCTTGACGACGCAGTAGCCCTTGACTTTGACTGCCCCGATACCTTCGAGGCAGGAAGCCATACCGATAGATGTAAGTGCGGCGACACCGCCTGGCTGGAGGAGTTCGCCAACGATACGGTCTGGTTCTGCGAGAGAACGTTCGAGGACAGCGATTCGAAGAGGTTTTGCTGGTCTTGACGAGGAAGAGGCGAGGGGGGATGAGGAGGATAGGGCGTAGGCTAGTGAGCACCCAGCTACACCGCCGCCAACGATGAGCACGTCGTAATGGGTTTTCCACATTCTAGATATCTAGTTTTTCCCGACGACGGGGGTGAGTGTTCGAGGGAAGGATAGGGTAGAGACAGATGGGGTGGAGGCAAGCGCCGTCTATGTTTACGAGAACCGACTTAAAGAACGCTCGAAAGTGGGACGATGACGGCGAGTAGGTGGTCTCATTTTAACTTTTTTTCGGACATGTCCGACGTTCTGGAGTTGACGAGCCTTGGACCTTCTGCCGTCCTCAAAGTCTAGATAATACTTGTTAATTTCAACATGGAGAATCACTGTCGACTCGAGCTCGAAACTGCTGATGTTCTGATGTATTTTCCTTGCGAGGTCGAACCATGAAGCTGGAATAATTTTGAAGTTGAGACCGTCGCGGCATCCAAGTTGGACACGCCACAATCCTGGCTACACGATCATCACCTTGTCCTCAACTGTCCATCGAGCTCCCAATAATCACGATTCAACGTTGCTCAGGAGAAAAATACTTGTGTCAATCGAACCATGCCAAATTTTCGGACGTACGATCGTTGCCCTCAATTTCCGAGGGAGTACACACCGTCGTCCCTCGTTCTGGCGGGTAAGTAAGGAGACCCACGACCATACCTCAAACTCTGGCAGACGTCAACAGATTATCCCAGAGCTACTCTTCTCCGATACGAATCGGTTACACCCTCTTCGGCACCAAGTGCCTCGCTATGCCTCAAGACTTTGCTTTCTGAGCCTGCGAGGGATGAAACCGAAGCCGAGTTTCGTGTCGAAACCTGGCTTCGGAACTTCCGACCCACAGCAAAGCTCGAGAAACAGAGCCAGAAGCCACTTGCGATCGAATACTTGCTCGATCTCGCAAACTCTTGAGGATCGATTAGATGGTTGTCCAGTGAGAGATCGGACGACTCATCCACTGTGGCCAATTTTGCATCGGTGTCGCTGAGAATATCGTCAACATCGTGCGAGACGACGCCTGCAGACCAATTTGTTGAGAAAACCTTGGTGCTCTGATTGTCGGATAAGCGACGCTCTTCTACGTTGTTCTCGTAATCCAGGAATTCGAGTGACTGGTGGGTGTTGGCAAGTGGCGGATGATTAGACTCGTTACCACGAGAAGAAGTGTGAAGGAGAAAACGGAACTTCAGAAGATCAAGGTTCCAGCATGAGGGATGCCAAATCTGTTATAGTTTGGCACTCTGGTGAGAAAGAAGGGTGAGACGATTGAAGTGCAGAAAACAATTCGAATAGGAGCCTCGTACAAACCACTACCACAACAACCCGGAACCACAGATGCTCAAGACCTGGGCAACTCCAAATCCTCCGGCCCAAAACTATCAGGCAGCAACTCCTCCAACGTCCTCTCTTTAACTCCATCGTCCCCATCCTCTTTTGCATTAGCTTTGCGCTCGAAATAATCGGCAGGGGCGAGGAAGATTGGCATTTTGAGAGAACAGAATTCTCGGATTACTTGACGACAGAGTCCGCAGGGCGAGAGGGCCGCTTTGACGTCACTATTAAAGGAGATGTGTCTAGGAAGGTCGATCGGAGGGGATGGAAGGGAGCACGGACGTTACCACTGCGAGGGCGACGAAAGACTTGATGCCTTCGCTCTATGGATAGAAGAATGTGAAGGGGGCAGGCTCGAAAATAAGAGAGACGTACGACTGCTTTCACGATCGCCGTCCTCTCCGCGCAGATCGTTCCTCCTAATCCCATTTCCCCAATCAGCTCAACTCCATTCGATATCATGATACGAACATACCATACGAGGCGTTCTCGATGTTGGCCCCTTTCACGATCTCACCGGTAGTTGTCAAGAAAGCCGCACCGACGCGGAATTTCGAGTACGGGCTATAGGCGAATTGCTTTGCTTATCGTCCGCGGTGTTGTATCAGATACAATCGTCCGAGGAACGGGGGCTTGGGTCTACCTTGGATGGCGGCCTCGATAAGGCGCTCCCTATCCGCTGCTGATATCGACGTAGTTTTGGAAGTCATTGTTATCAACAATCGTGCTGCAGAATGTCATTTTGTGGGGTTAAATAGGAGAGAAGAATCGTTGGCTAAGATAAGGACGAGTCACGCATATAGTGACACCGTGACATAAGTCACGAGGTGTAAGTGCCACTTTAGGAAAGTCCCTTTCCCGTTACGGAATCCACTTTCGGCAAGTGAATTCCCTTTCTTGTGAAGTCACATTGTGACTGCTTTGTGACCTCCCAACACATCGCCCGCCTAGCTCAATCGGATAGAGCGTCAGACTCTTACCAGAGCCTGCTAGGGCATTTCCGGAAATCTGAAGGCTGCGAGTTCGACCCTCGCGGTGGGCTAATGTCTATCTTTTTGCCTGAATTTATCTGATTTTTTCGATCAGATGGCATCGATTAACGGTCCCGCCCTCGCCAGCTGAGGACCGGGGCACTTAGGACGAACGACGCACTCGAGACCGGTCTGTTAGGAAAGAGGCTGCGAGTTCGACCCTCACGGTGGGCTACATCCCACTTTTTCCTCTGATTTTCTCTGATTTTATTCGATCAGATGGCATCAAATAACGGTCCCGCCCTCCCGACGCGATGGCACGCGACTTGGATGAATTCCGGAGTCCCCCCGCTGCCACTGGACATCTTAACGCCGCAAAATACCTCAAGGCGCTTGGAAATGACTCCTGGGACTTGGTTCCCGGTTGAGGCAATGCAGACACAGCTTTCGGCGGTTCAGGCGCTCAAACGCAGACGCCTTCTCTTCCCCCTTGTCCACACCCCATATCCTTGGAAACGATGTTCAATCCAACCACTCGTTCTCGCATAACGGGGTCCATCTTTGGTGCAGCCTTAGGAGACGCCATTGGACTATACACCGAGTTCCTATCCCGCAAGTTCTGCTTGAACACCTACCCTTCTCAAAAGATCTCCTTGGTACCGCCTATCACGCCCATGAAGAGTGATGGGCACAGGGACAAGTTTGATCCGAGGGGATGGACGGATGACATGGATCACGTATTGGTGGTTTTGTTAAGTTGGTTGGAAAATGGGAAGAAGGGATATAGAAAGATCGGGAACGGTGAGGGAGTGTTGGATGAAATGGACGTTGCGAGGGGATTGAGGGAGTGGTGTGAAAGTGGTTTGATCGTTCTTGGAAGGCCGCCTTATGATATTGGTATCACGGTTGGAAAGGTGGGCTACGCCACGTATTCTACTCATATCGATTGTTGAATAGAGTTGGAACAGGTGGTTTTTGACAAGAACTTCCTCAAGAACCCCCAGGAAACAGCTTACCATCATTGGGCCCACTCCAAACCCCGCGGAGCAGCCAACGGATCGCTAATGCGCACTCCCATCATCGGGGTGATCGCCCTTCTAACCAACCTCACTCGCGCACAAACATTTGCCGAGGCTCATCGCATATCTTCCATCACCCACGCTGATGCAAGGTGTACAGTCTCGTGCGCAATCGTTACCGAACTTGTGAGGGGTTTGTGTAAAGGTGAGATGAACGACGAGACAGGTGTGAACGGAGTTGTGGAGGAAGCTTGGACGTATATTCAGGCGCAGGGACTAGAAATAGAGGGAGGGAGGGACGAGTTTGAGAGATATGCTTATTTGAAGGACCTCGGGAATGTACCATTGGATGATTGGAAGGTTACTCTCTTTCCCCTTGCCCCTGCACCCCTGCGCTAATCCTTGCTTAACCAGATGGGATACGTCTATTACGCTCTCGGAGCGTCCCTGCACCTCCTCCGTCTCTTGTTCTCCTCTGGCCCATCGTTGACCTTTGAGCCCCTCATCACAGATCTCATTTTCCGTGGTGGAGATGCGGACACGAACGCTTGTATTGCTGGTTCTATCTTGGGTGCGGTGGTTGGTTACGAACACTTACCAGCCGCGTGGAAGGATGGGCTGAAGAACCGAGAATGGTTGATGGATACTTGTTGGAGAGTTTGTGATGGGCTACCTTGAGGTGTGGTCGATCTTGTTGGGTCTATTCTATCGAGGAATGCTGCCCCGAACTGCTGGGACCTGCGCATGCTGAATCTACATATCGCATATAGTGGGTTGTACAACACTGTATCATTGTATCCAATATCGCCACCAATACTTTCTTTGAAAACTCTATAGCCTAAAGGCTAATTGATATCAACTCAGAGGCGCCCACTGCACACCGAGGTAATTCTCAAGCCCAAACTTGTCAATCAGGTTGCCCGAACGATTCGCAAAAAACTTCTTCCTTCCCTTTGACGTACCTCTTGACCTGAAGCTTATTTGGCAAACCTCCTCAAGATCCTGCTCCATACTTAACTCGATGGCTTTCGCCCAAAGTACAAGTATATTGGAAAAAGTGTCAAGAGACCAAGAGACTGTGAAACATTACATGTGACATATACACCATTGCAGCCCCACAGAATAAATACAATGCGGGCAAGTATTCCAAAAGATGACGCATCTTTAGGAGGAAGCCAAGGCTCAGTACACGGGTAACGTCCAGTCCAGCCCAAACCCCACAGACGAAGCAGAGATTCCTAAAGACTCCCGCTCTCGCCAATCCTCATAATCCTGCCTTTCAGTCGGGCTAAGGAGCTTAACAGCGCGGTTGTCGGCGAATGGGTCATCAGAGGGATAGGTGAGTACAACTGGGCCATCGTCTTCCTCATCAGAATCGGAGTCGTCACTATCCCCCGTATATCGAAGGAGGGATTGGCCCAAGGAAGGTAGTCGACGGGTAAGAACTTGTTGAAGGAGGGATATGCGATTGGGTCTCCCGCGGCACAACTCGTTGGCTCCATCTTCCTCGCTCTCTTCATCGGCGTCGAGTTGATGAACATCCACAGAATCCCCCTGACCAGCCAAAGGGCTCCTCCGCCTTCTCAAAGCTCTCTTCACCCACCGATTCTCCATAACCGTCACCACCCGTCGCTCTTCCTCCACAACTTCCCGTTGTTGGCTCTCGAGCTGGGTGAGTAGGCGTGTGAGAGTTTGGTATTGGTATGCAGCATCCAGTTCAGCGAATGAACAAGTCGGCGTCTGGTATTTTTTCGGAGTTCCCACGAGGAGGGGAGGTGTATCGGAGGGTGTGTGTAACTCCGAGTCGTCGCTTTCGGTGTCGATATCGCCGTTGTCGAAGAACATCGAGGGGTCCTCGTCCATGATATTCGTACTCAGAGGCGAGGTACGACGGAGCTTGGACTTGACTACCAAGGTGTAGTAATTGGCTGGGAGTCTTGCTCGGAGTCGTGGGAGTACGTATCGCCGGTATACATCCAACAATGTCGAACGGGCTTGCTGGCGGAGAATCCTGGCTTGGGGCGGGATGGCTTGCAATACTGTTGCGACGTCAGGAGTGGTCCGGACTGCGATACACACAACGACCTACCAGGTCCGGCGCGAGAAGACTCTTTGTCCTTATCTATCACAGACTGGGCTTCACGGACGCATTCCAACACGCTCTCCACAGCCTTTTCGAATCTCTCTCCTTTTGTCTTGTCGATCCTCCACTCGACCCCATCGAAGTCATCGCCGAAACTACAAGTCACCATCCCGGTATTCATATCTATCGTGGCCTTCTCCAACACCGCCGATATCCAAGTTGCCTTGTCAAGTGCATGGATGGAGTCTGGTAATGGTAACGAAAGGTCTTCGTTGTGAAGGAGGGCGCTGATTTGAGATTGCCATGCAGCGGGGATAGGGAGGTTTGTGGGGTAAGCACTGGGGAAGGTAATTGAGAAGAAGATGGTCGCAGAGGGTGGCAAGGGCACGAGACGCAGTATCATGTTCACAGATGGCTAACTTCTTCGACTCCTTGGGGGCTGGCAGGCGAATTGACGACGAGTGGAAAGGATAGACGAAGAGAAGGCTGGGGATATTATCCATCCATTTCCCCTTAGTCAGGACGCTATGGGAAGGTTCTGCGGGGTCCCATTTCTAATGGTGCGCTGGACAAAGATAGACGAGGGGACGGGCCGACGGATGTACCGCGGTGGTGGGACAAAAGCCTCAAAACGAATGGGATGGAACGGAACTGCCTAGTTCATGTAGGTTCATGTGGGGCACTGGGAATATCCGTCGGGCGATTGACAGAGATGATGAGAAGAGCTGAAGCTTTGCTAATGGGATTTCGAGATCATTCCGCGTCTGTGACATTACGTGGTGGCTGTGTTTCTCGCGTGCTTTACAGCATCCGGCGGTGTGTGCTTTCCTCGTGTTCTCCCTGTGTTTCGCCGTCCTCATGCTGAGAGTGCATCGTTACTTTCATCAATCTGTCGCGGCAAACCCGGATCATCTCATTCAGTACATCTTTGGAGCAGGAATGCGAAGTATGCAAGGCCCTGCGAGTCACCGATTAGATCGTTGTATCGCTTCACCATTCTACACCTGTCTGTTTTGGTCACGCGCTCAAGGTATCAGCACCCCGTTATCATTCTCCTCATTGCATCCTCGTGTCTAACGCCCTATATACACCCCCTCTGCAGCAAGATGGCTTCACACTCATCTCACCTTCATACTGTTACGACGTACAAGCCAACGACGTTGACGTCGTGCTTTTCTGCGATTTAATTCCCCTCATCGACATATCTGATACTTGATCTTCGCCACACACACGCCCACGTCTCATACGATTTCGACCATGGCGAAAGTATTACCACAACTTTTGAGCCCACTCAGCTTTGGCTGCGCTCGCGAGCTCGGTGATTTTGTGCGTATTCAACCCATCTCTGTTTATTATGCGCTTCATTCATGTAAGAATGTGTTCTTTCGTATGATACAGGAATCGCACACGCAAAATCCGGAGGATCGCACATCGTTGGTCCACTATGAGTCCGTGAAGTGCCGCCTCCAGCGCTCAGACGAAGCGAACGTCTTTCTTAGAGCGCACACCGAGCACCTCAAAGCCGAAGCCCACCACCTAAAGGCTCAGGTACGGATCTATCATCGATACTGCTTAGCTCCCAATGAAATTCACACATTTAATGGTTCATCTAGTTACTATCACTCCAATTCCGAATGCTCCGCCAAGACCTCCTCCACTGCGCCCAACAAGCTCGCCACCGTAAATCCGAACAAGAGCTCCAATTTCAACTCCGACAATCCAAATCTCTAATCTCCTCTCTCCAATCCTCCCTATCCGAGCTCGAAGCTTCTACATCATCCATGTCCGCCGATATGGAACGCATGAACTTTGGGATGATTGGTTCTCAATTCGTGATCGACCGTCTTACTCAGCGATCGGAAGATCTGAAGGTGAAGTTGGATGAGGAGAAGGAGGAGAACCGACGGTTGAGGGAGAGGTTGGATTTGTTGGAGGAGTATGTCACTGCTAGTCGAGAGGCTGACGAGTTGGTCAGTGAGACTTTTGACGGCGTGCTTGCCACTCTTGATGCGTGGAAGAAAGGGGACGAGTCGGAGGTGGAAGATGACAGGGTCGTTCGTCGTGATGGTGATGTAACGTCTTCCCCTGAGGCTGGTTCCTCGACATGTGTCGATGATGAAAGCACCCTCGCTGAGGATTCCGACGAAGACGATAGGACTGTTGAAGGAGACGACGTGTTTGACCAACAAGAGCGGAAATCATGGACCCATCAGGCGTTGCTCGATAGCTGGACTTCAACACCTGACGCCGCTATTCCCACCACGCCTATCTTTGACGAATCATGTGTTCCCCTCCCCTCTTCCCCCGCCGAACTCGGTCTCGACCTCGAAGCCTCTCCTACACCAAGTCAAGCTACCATCACACCTTCCTCTCCTACCTCTGACGAGGAAAGCGATTACCCTTTCACCTATGTTCATCACGATAAGGAGATTAGGTTACTCGACATCGAAGTTCCTACCAGCCCCACCGTTGTGGGTAGCGGCTCCGAACTGGACTCGGACACCGACACCGATTCTGAGTCTCATCTTCCCGAATTACCTCCCATCAAAGCGTACGAATCGGACGCATCCGTCACTTCCATCGACTCTCCCCTCCTCGCATTCCCATCCAAGTTCATCGGTAAGTCATCGCTTTGTCGTCTGCCATTGGGTACTAATGAGCATTGCTTGGTGAACAATAGACGACGAATCTTTCGCGCCTTTGATCAGAGAAACCCTCTCTCCCCTCCGCGAATACCCCGATAGCGACCGCGATTGCGTTGTTTATCCCATCTCGACAAGCCCCTTTAGGTACAGGAGACCTACCATAAACTCTCTCAGTCGATCATCTTCTATCAGTTCATCTGGTACCGGTATGTCCGCATCTTCTCTCTTCTCTTTGCAATTTATCTGATCGATATGGGTAGTTACCGCTCGAAAGATCTCGGCACGATCCAAGGTCATCGGGCAGAAGAAGAAGAGAGGGGAGAGGAACGTTAACCAGTTGGAAACATGGGTCAGTCGGAGTAGTGCTGGTGGAACGAGACGATTCCTTGAGTAGGGCCAAGGCTGGGCCTTGTTCTCCGCTTTGATTTCGACCTTCTTTTACTTTCTGTGTTTCTTTTTGGTTTTGATCCAAAATGTCCCACGAGCGGGACGAGTGGTGAGTTTCACGTCATCCTCTGCCTCGAGTCATGAAAGCTGATGGTGGTCGGGTATAGGGCTGGAATTTTCATGAATTGAACGAACCAATGAATGAGATGGAACGAATGCAATGAATCATATATTTATTCTACACACACAAATGTATCCACCACACGACTGTACGACATTGACTCATGATCAATAGCATGGATTGTTTTCTCTACCCTTTGCACGTCCAAGATGGATGCTTTTTCGTTGAGAGTGGTGTCCAGCGAGCACGACGGAAAGTGGAATTCTAGTAGATACCAAGAGGTCAGAATTCAATCCCGGACAAGCATTTACGAGGCAGATCCGTCTGACATATTCATATTGTCGGCTCGTTATGATAGACCACTGGAGGTGACCAAGTCAGTAAAACGATGGGTTTCCACAACCTACGTCGTAAAATGTGTTTAGATCAATACAGCACAACCGGATGACTAGGAATTGGCGTAGAAATAGAAAAGGATAAAAATGAATGGCCCACATGGGGGTCGAACCCAGGACCTTCGCGTAAACAGGAGGAATTACCCGTGTATTAGCACGACGCTCTAACCAACTGAGCTAGCAGGCCATGTGTGGTGAGAAGAAATGTAGTATATCCACGCATTTCAAGTTCATTTTGAGTGGAAACTCAACCCCCCAACCGGAAACAGAACCATAACCTCGACCTTGACCTCAACCACCATGTTCTTCATCGTACGTTCTCGTCCCTATCGCCCTCGCGGTCACTGACAGCAGCCATGCACCCATAGAAAGAACTAACCCACACCATTCTCCTACATCCGTCTTACTTCGGTCCCCGCATGCTCCAATTCCTCGAATCCAAACTCTACTCCGATGTAGAAGGTACATGTTCAGGTCAATTCGGCTATATCATCGCAGTGGTTTCTATCCTCGATATTGGAAAGGGTATGGTCATTAGCGGCAGTGGGCAGGCGGAGTTCGTTACGAGGTATAGGGCAATCGTGTTTAAGCCGTTCAAGGGAGAGGTTGTGGATGGGGTTGTGAGTAATGTTAATAAGGTGAGTCGTCTTTGGTTCTTGGGTTTTGGAAGAGAGGCAGAGGTGCTGATGAGCCGAGTAGATGGGATTCTTTTCGGATGTGGGACCGCTGGCGGTGTTCGTCTCGCATCAGGTACTTTGTGCCAACTCTCGTCACCTCGCGCGCTTATCCCAACACGGTGACTCTAGCTGATAGGCCCTGACTTCCGATATGACCCCAACTCAAATCCACCATCTTTTGCTTCACAAGACCAGGTATGCTCTCTTCCTACCATTTCCTTACGCGCCGTCATCGACAAATGCACTATTTAGATCATCGAGAAAAACACAAAAGTGCGATTAAAGATCGTCGGTACACGTGTAGACGCAACAGAGATCGTACGTCCCCCCCTCCCCTCTCCTCTTCCCAGCTTAGTGTCCTCTTCTTCGGTCTTGGTATCTTCCCTTTCGGTCAATACGTTTTTGGACAACGTTCCCTTATCGAATCGACTTTGGTCTTCGAACTCTTACCATCCACAATAGTTCGCAATCGGGACGATAAAAGAAGATCATCTAGGAGTCATCGAGTAACCCTTCTTACCGCTCAAAATCCTTCGGTCTCGTCTCCTTGCTCGTGTTCTCGATATCCCTTCTCGCCTCACGCACCCTATACAACCGACGATGAATCATACCAAACCGAACACGACCATCCACCTTGGATCGCCGTCACATTCGGCTCCCGTCAAACATTCCCTTGCGAGAACCCCAACTTTGCGTGTCACGATTTGGATGGTACTTACCTACTACATGTACTTTATCCTCTTGGGATGCTACTTTGACATTTTTTAAAAGACTGATTTGAGAAAAGTGGAGGGCCACTAAGCTTCAAATTGTGGACTTTGAGACGAAAAGATAGACGCCCCAGACCCAGGCTCCTTAAACCATCCGTCGCTACAGCGTTCTCGCTCCTTCATCCGAGGGCAAGACGTGATGTGGCAACTTTGTTTGTACATATGTATAGAGTTACTATATTAGGTCGAACAAGAGGAGGAGAACGCTGTAGGACGGCTGGCACAAATGGTCATCCGAGGATTCGCCGTTTGACGAATATGGTGTCTGACTCAGCGGTCGAAATGCCAGGATTCGCGCCGATAACCTCACTTCTCTAAAATCGAATAATCACTTGCTCCCTCCGCAATCTACACTTTGTTTCCCTGTTTCCCTGCTTCCAAAGTAACTTCGTATCTGGATCATCTCTTTTTACTGGGCTTTTGTGATTGGAATTATCAAGGCGCTATGCACTCATGTTCACCCTCCGAAATACAACTAAGCGAACCTTTCTGAATCCCGGTGCTCTGCTCGACAGAAACACGTCTACGGCATCGACGCCACCCGCTATCCCTCAAGAATTTCAATTGGTATACAAGTTGGGCTTCCCCGGTCTCAATGGCCCATCAGCGCAGGATTTTGAGGACTTTTCGACATGCAGCTGCTGCGACATCTCGCAGCTCGATTCACTGTGAAGTTTGAGTTATCCTGCCCACTACGTAGGAGATCATTTAGCCGATCCCAGGGGACAATCCTCCTAGTCATTATCCATATTCGCAAAGGTGGCCGTGCATGCGGGATGCAAACAAGGAGTAGCACACAACCAGGCAACACACCCTTGACACATCAAGCATTGGCGAGACGTCCTCTCCGAGGGGCGTAAATATTCAGTTATCGCTCAACTAACCCTCGCACGCAACACACCTCCCGAACAAGCAACCCCGGCTCTCATACTCGCATCGATTCGCGTTCTCAATATCAGTCGCTCTCGAGCTGGTACTGCATCCTGTCTACATCACTTGCTTCCACATGCACCTCGCAGCCCTTCATCCCCCACCACAACACAACATCCGAACCCATCCTACATCTGTGCTCTTGCAATATTCGCCTACGAAGCTACTTTGTATTGCCGTGTCAACTGCCGCGACTCTCAGCATGTATGTCTTCCATCACTTTCTTCTCTGTCGATGCAGCTTTCGTTTGCCGAGGTGAGGACTCGGTACTTCATCGTTGCGATCAACACCCTCCCATGCAGCCTTTTCGCCAATTCCCACCTCAGCCATCCACGAACCATGATCTTCCCTGTTCCTTCTTTTCCTCGAGTCCTCCTGTACTTCAGATGCTGCCCATTGGTGCCTGTATTTACTTACATGATTCCCTTCGTGCACCCCTCACACAAGGTGTTTCCTGAGGGTTTCAAGTTGACTTGTCAAGCGGAGGTTAACTTCCCAAGCCGGAGGTTATCAACGCAAATCCTGGCATTTCGACCGCTGAGTCAGACACCATATTCGTCAAACGGCGAATCCTCGGATGACCATTTGTGCCAGCCGTCCTACAGCGTTCTCCTCCTCTTGTTCGGCCTAATATAGCAACTCTATACATATGTACAAACAAAGTTGCCACATCACCTCTTGCCCTCGGATGAAGGAGCGAGAACGCTGTAGCGACGGATGGTTTAAGGAGCCTGCCCCAGACCTAGCAGGTGCTTGGTAGTTGGCCAGATTAGAACTCTCATGTTGGGGCCAAGAGATCGCTCGGAATACGTAGGTGGGTGGAATAAGTAGACTCGCCACTCGATGAAGGGATCCTCCTCGAAATAAACCTTGAACAATATTGATAGCTGGGTCATTTCCAGCCCCATCATCTTCGTTGTCTCCATCGTTCATGTGCTGGTAACGGTGGGAAGCAGCAGAGGTGAGGGTGAATGATTGAGTGCGATTCCAAGCTGTGAAAAGCCGCGGCCTGGAGCATGGAAACAGGCCATTAGAGGAGAGCATGACCTTGGAGTGGTCTTTCGATGTGTCAGAAGAGCACAGCGTAATATTTGCGCTGTCATTAGAAGCAGAACATAGTTTTGTATCCTCAACTCTGATCACAGGGTTGCATTCATAAAATACAGCTGTTTAAGTGACTTTTTCACTCACAGTTGCTTTGCAGTGTTGCTAACGGTTCAGGGTAAACTGGTTCAAACCGATTGTGAGGTGAGTTCCAAGTAGTTTTGGTTCGGTTTCAAACCAAGACCGAAACCAGCTGCCAGAGGGGTGTGGTCGTGGTAGAGAAACCCGTCAGAACCAGTCATAGACTGGTTCCCAATCCGATTTTCGTACCTGCTCCAGGAGTGCAGGTTGGGTACAAGGATGCTTTCAAATTGGCGAGCTGTTACGTCTCCGTCACGTGCATGTCACGAGGTTTCAGTCACTCTGGGACGCGTTTACTTATACAGTACTCGAGCAATCCTTGGGCCACTTTTCACAGATTGGGCTCACAACACGTTTTTGGGGTCTCAAAGGCCAATCTGTTTTGGTAGATCTAATGTAATACATGATCTTATATTCCTCAATTTTTTTCAGAGGTGATGGTGTCCTCTTTCATATGCAATGGCGGCCACGAACATCGAGAACGATGACGGCGTTCAGCGCTCCTTGGGCCACACAGGCACAAATTGTGGCAAAACTTCCATTTTAGGAAATAATTTGTCAGCTCATCAGTTTCCCTTCTCAACCCCCCTCTTTCGAACAGTACGGAGGTTCTGCATCGTATTGAGAAAATGTGACATGATAGGAAGGAAGATCACACAAAAATGCAGTCCCTCGAATTTTTTTTGGAATTTTCTGGCATTTATTTGAGTCTGCTAGAGCCAGTGGCCCAAGGAGCACCCCTGACCCAAGGAAGGCCCCGGGCGACTGCCATATGTGTTTCTGCGGAATTAGCATATTTGAGGCCCCCAAATAGGTCATTTTCTTCTCCGTAAACTGCATATTTGAGGGNGAAATTGGCCTTCAAGACCCAAAACCCTCTCCGGAATTAGCATATTTGACGGTTGCATGGTCCAAGGTCCACCGGTCCAGACCTGGAGAATTTTGATCTCGAAGCTTCATTCGCGCGTCCAAGTCACGGACACTCCTACCATGAAGCAAAACCAATGGTGAAGAGGGTCGGGATACGATCACAACGCTAGAGGCCCCCGAATCTACAGCAGCTGCAATGCTCGCAGCTTTCCCAAGACTACGAGACAGCTGTTTCGGAAGCTACTGCATTGATTTCATACCGTTGACTAGACTGCAGGAGACGAAATTCGGTCCAAGAGCCTTGAAAAGAGGCGACAGGGATGCGTGACAAAATACGTCACATACAGTGACAAACGTGACACCCTTCTGCGACTTTGCATATTTGAGGGCCTAAACCTTGCATATTTGAGGCCGATTTCAGAGGTTTTGGCGGCATATATGGCAGTCGCCCGGGGCCTCCCAAGGACCGCTTGAGTTCTGTACAGTAACTTGGAAGTTATTGTGAATCTGACCATCGGTTTTACAGGTTTCTGAGACGCTCAAAAGCCATCTCTAAGCGATCTCTCAACGCGTTATGACCGACATAGGTGAGTCTGTCCATCTCACAGCAATCCAGCGCCCATTCACGTTGCTTGCGGCAAGGCTCCGCTATTCTCGAGTCTCTGCGTTCGAATATCTTCGTCGCACCCGAAGTTTTCTTTCGCCAGGAGCTGTCGAAGGCAGAGCAGGAGGTCGCTGATCTCGAAGCTGAAATC